TTATATATTATTTATATTTATTATTCAATAACTATATATCTTACCTATATATTATCAGTAAACTATATTAGTAATTACCTACATTTAAAATGCATTAAAATTCTGAGATGAATTCATAGGTTTCATTAGTTTTTGTGTTGAAGTCCATCTGAAGTACATTAAAAAAATAAAAACCACATTAAATATAGAAGTATATCTGACTGTTCAGTGAACTGGATTCAGGATCCGGATTCACACTACCATGAAAAAAGTTGTTTAATCTCAGAAGATCCCTTCCAGCAGGCAGTGGTGCACACAGCTATAAAGATGAATGCCTGGCTATGTTGAATTTAGTGGGATAACAGAAGATAATAAAGTCAAGCACAAGTGTAAATATTTGCAGCCTCATACTGTATAACCTTTTCCAAGAGTTAATTTCATCTAAGACTTGCAGGACTTGACTCATAATAAAAGCTATTACTGGCCTCATTCTTTGTGCTACAGACCATTTAACACAACAGTATGCACCATTTGGAGCTGCACTTTTGGCTTCCTCCTCTTTTGAAGCCTCCTGCTACTATAGACAAACTTTCAAGCATGTGAGATCCAAGTCTTCATACCCTGGTGATTCAGCACCACACTTCACTGTGTCCCAGCCTTTGCTGGATGGTTTTGTCAACAGGAAAAACCTCAGAATTTAAGTGCAACAAGTGCTGGTATTTTGCTGAATCACCAGCAATACACAGAACCTGATTCTCCACTTGAAAGGCACAAACACAACGAAAAAACTTGTACAGATGCAAGTAATACAGCAATTTTTTTTGTTTGTTTGTTTTAGGGAGGGCAAACTCCTTTGAAGTGTACTTTTGTATTCTTAATCATGTTTGTGATAAACTAGTTACCTAGAAAGCTCGGCAAAAAACTGAACTCATGATTCCTTTTGAATAAAAGAAACCTTACTCTCTTTGCTGAAATATATCTGGTTTTGAGAAGCAAATATTTTCTTGAAAATTTATTTCCTTAAATGCTTCCGAAAAATATTTTCAAATTTCCATTTGAAAAAATGGTTTCAAATTAATCTTTCCAGTATTCTTAACATTGTTTCAAACAATTATGAGACTGCTACTGAAATCTCTCCTATTGGAACACTCACAATTGCATGTAGCTAAATGTAACTTTTGTTGAATGGGAAAGTCTGCAATAACTTGTTGAACAAAAAAAAAAAAAAGAAAAAAGTCTGGTATACAATAAACTGCAAACAAAAAAAGAAAGAATTTATTATTATGGAATAAAGAAAAAAAAGCTTTGAAAAGTGAAAGCTTTAAAATTGTTTTTTATCATCTCCACAAACTGATTTTTGAAAGTAAAGTTATTCCTTTTTTTATCTTTTCCACTGACAAGATTTTTAACACAAACATCTAGTCCACAATTACGTATTTAGGAATAGTTCAGAAGATACAAGGATATTTCATTTTAAATTGAAATACTCAGGGCAAGATCATACTGTGACTGACATGTGGAAATGAAGAATGAAACATTTCTTTTTGATATTTATTAGATTTTTCCTGATTTTCCTATTTTTATCTGCTTCCAAGGTCAGCTTTCATGCATCATTGCTATTTTAATGTGCTCATTTTGCAGCATGAGCACAAGCAATTCAACACAAGACAGTAACATCAGATCTAAATAACCACACTGTAAACTGTAACTTCCAGCAAACTTATGGTGTCACTCTTACTCTACTGTAATAGCCTCTTCAGTAAACAAACACACAGCAAGTGAATTGTTAATGCAAACCAGAACAAATCCAAGTTAAATATACTACATAGGAAAGGCATCAAATTATCAGCAGCTCCTCTGGGAATTCTTTTTCATACACACTAACCATTTTTTATTGTAAGCAAAACATTAGCAGTTTGGAAAACACACAAGGTACCCTGGCCTATGCAGCTCATTGTGTCTGGTTCAATAAACCTGAAATTTCTGTGCATGCTTTGCAAAAGCTTGTTCTAACTGCTGACAAGTCCTAGCAGACCCAGGAATGCAGTCTTTCCAGAAGTTTGTGAGATGCCATCTTTAGACCCTAAACCACCTCTGACAGCCTGGCTTTACATCACTTCTGGTGTCTCTTGCTCCTGGATATTTTAAGAAATGGTATCCTCTGTTACCCAACTGCTACCTCAATCAACTCTCCAAGCTGCTTTTCAGGCAGCTGAAGGTTTATTGGTACAATTTTCTTCTCAGGCTGAGAAGGAACACGCAAGGCTTTAGCCATGGCCTAAGGGGATGCTCTAATACATCCACAGGCTTCAGCTCTGATACATTAGCCAGTTACTGACACTTCATCAGTGTCGATCATTTGCTTTATTGCACTCTTCTTGTGGAAACTTACCTCCTGCACAAACACTCGATGGTTCAGCTGCTAGGATCTCAATGCAAGATTTCTTGAGAATCTAAAAAATTTAGATAACGGCATTTTTTGTAATAATTTTTATCTATGCTTTATTAATACAGGAAAGGGTGTCCTTTTCTGGGTTTCAGAATACCCAACTTACTGAATCAATGGTGCCTCTTAGGGCATAAAAGCCTCCCGTAACTGGAAAAACATGATCGATGCTGTCAGCAATTGTTGACAGCTGCAAAGAAAGACAATCATAAATCATGAGGAAAACAAAATTACAGTGAACAAAACTGGGCCCTTTCATACTTGCTAAAAGACATCATACTGACATGAAATGATTTATGCCTCAAGTAATTAAATAAATGCCTTCCTTTGATGCTGTTACTTGTGCAGTAATATCACAGAAAAACAAAACAAGAAGAAAGCAAGCAAAGTTACCTGCGTTTCATTAAAATCTTTCACTCCAACACAATAAACTATAGCTCCAAAGCTTCTGGCTCTGTTGGCCTAAAAAAAAAATAATTGCCATTAAGTGCAAAACCATATAATCAGTGGAGCCAGCCATTAATGCCTACAGGTTTGACATAAGCAGTTTGGGTGAATGTGAAGGTGACTTACTTCTTGTTCTGCATAATAAAACTGAACATCTTGCAATTCTCCATCCGTCAGAGCAATAATCACACTAGCGGTCCGAACTCCTACATGAAGGATAGTTAAGAGATTGCCATTATATGTTTGACACAAAGATTCAATGATGAAAAGAAAGTTTGAAGTGAGGCATTCCTTTCTGCTGACATATAAATACAGAACGGTAAGGCCAGACTCTCAGCCTGATTTGCACAGATTTTATTGGAGATATACCAGCTGAATGCCAGATACATAAAAGCATGTAATAAGCAAAAAACTGTGCACCTTCATATCACAATTATCACTAAAAGGGGAGTGCTGCTCTAACAAGGTCTATGCACAAACTTCTCTGTCTGTATAAAATATAGCGTCTACCGAGATTACATCTAGACCTTTTGTGAGGAAAACTGGCAAAATGGATCTGCAGTGGAGGAGAGGTTTCCCCTCTTCTCTTTGCAAACTTGTCTCTACACAAACCTTTCCCAGAGATTATGGTAAGAGATACCTGTGCAAAAGGAGCTTTCCTGCTATCCTACCTTCCCCTCCAGCAGACTTTCAAAGAGCAACCCCACTAAACATGACACAAAATGTGCTTCTGCAGGGGGTTCAGTCGTACGCTTCTTGAGCAACAAGAGCTGTCACTGGAAATCATAGGACTTCTGAGCATGTGAAAACCTTGAGATCAGGTGCATTAGAGAAAACGCACACCTTGTGATAAGATTTTCTATCCCACCTAAACTTAAGTGAAAAGGTTGCATGGACTTTGGATAGCTCTAAGTGTAATACAGTATTGAATACAATACTACCTAAAAATGCAACATTAACAAAATTAAACTTAATCAATGTGCTCAATTAACCATCCTGCATCCATGGTTCTTAAGCAAAGTAACCAATACACACACGCTACTTCCAGAGAAGTATTTGTTATTTTTTCAAAATAATCTGTTACAATTTCAAGTGTCTTCCCCCATACTGTCTGAAATTAAACACTGATCAGTTCTGACAGGTTTCTTATGCCATGCAGCCCTTCCCATGTCATGTCAGACACAGACAAATCTTAAAAAAAACGACCTGCAACTTGAGGGGGGAGGGAAGGAGGGATAGCTTGGATTCCCACAGTCCTCTTTTTTTGCCCCCTGCTCAGCATGCTTGAAAAAGGCTGGAAAAAAATGAGAGCTTATTTTGCTTGCTTTTGAACACTCGTTTCTTCGCTGATATTTTAGTTTATAAATCCAGCTGTATCTACTTTTTTCTTACAGAATAGTTGCTCAGTTCTTAGCTGTATGTTATGATAAGGTAAAATAGTTTTCAGTTAGACTCTTCCGGACTCTATTTTGCTGACAGAGATGCCTGAGAAGCCATGCAGAGTTGCTGATGAAGACTCTACACTCACAGCCTATTTTATCAAAAGGCACTGACACATTTCTCCATTTTTCAAAGAGACCACCAGCCCACAAATGAGAAACACCTCATACCACAGTACAAGCCAGGCAAGAAGGGTTCAGTTTAACTAATTAGGCCTTCTTTTGGCACAGACAAAAGCCACAAATACATTTCCCTCTCCAAACTTAGGGAAAATTTACATTTCAGGAACTCAGAATCTGATCCTGAATCAGTCATGCTGATGCAAAAATCTCAGCTGATGTATTCATCCCTACACCAATAAGACAAGGACATGGGCGCACAAGGACCAGGACAAAAGGGTGCAGGAAAATTTGGGTGTTCCTGTCCCCTTGGAACAGGACAAGCAGTTCTGGCTGTAATGCTTTGGTCTGTATTCTGCACTGGGTCAGATCTGTGATTATACTGGTCTCCTCTGGTCTTAATAAACCATGAATCATGCATTTAAAAGTAGGCCTGTAGTCAAAATGGAATGTAGTGATTGTGTAACACCAATTCCTTCTCCAGCACTTCTCGGCGGGTTTACTGCAGGTCATATATGAACTATCATCACTGTCTCTTCAATGCAGATACTTAACAGGAGCAATATATAACACATACCTCCATAGGTTTCGTGGTAAATCTGCTCATTTGCCTGCAATAAAGTGCAGAACTTTGTTAGCTCTTAAGTACACTGGAAGCAAGCAAAGCAAAGTTTATATGTGTAAATCAAAGGAAGGAGGTACTGTGATACGTACCCTTTTAAATCCTTCATGCATGAATGTGTCTCCTCCAGGCACTTCATACTGAAGAATGTCGAGCCCTCGTCTTATGGCTTCCCTTTGGATAAAAAACAAAACCAAATAAAACACTGTTAAAATCAAATTTTTTTCCCGTTTCTTCAAACCCCACAATTTTTCAGCCAAACACCCATGGGAGCATAAAACTGGGTATATGATACAGTGCTAGGTTTAATACAGTTTAAGGGTGCAATTCCATCCCTCATTCTGGTACACTGTCAGTCAGGATAAGATTGAATTAAAGCAAATACCAGATATTGAAGTCTGACAAACTGCAGATGGAATGAGAATTTAAAAGCTTATGACCCTGTCATGAAAATGGGACAAGTAAAACCCCTGTATTCAATCAATCATCAGGACAGTTGGAATTAGGACTTTTCCATTATAAAGACAGAGGCCAAAAGATAAAAGAACAGGATGGGAATGATGAGAATTTCCTATCCTAGACCAGGGACTGATCAACCTTCCTGGGGCAGCTGGCTGCCCAGGAAGAGAGAGACTTTGATACTATGACCCCTCTCGCACAGCTTCTTACTCCACAAATACCTGTTAACCAAGAGGATCACTCAGTGAAATTAATAATTTAATCAACCACTGATCACTCGAAGACCCTGATCCTTGGCAAAGTTTTCATTATATTAATGGAACACAAATAAGGCAAATAAGGCACAAATATTCAACAGACGAGATGTAGATAGTCCAATATCATCCCCACATGCCATGGCGCATCCTTTTTTTAAAAGATAGTGAGAGCCCCATTTTACATCTGGGTATTTTAGGTGGTACAACCCCAGTTACAGAGGAAACAGGAGTCTATGTGGGATGAAGGCAAAAATCAGTAGCTGGAAATTTGGGATTTGTCCTTAGGGCAAAAAGCACATTTTTACCTTTTCAAAGTATAGAATGAGCTGAAAAGGAACACACGGTTATCCATACAGAGAACAGGAGTTTAGGAAAGGGGACATTCTAATACCATGTTCAACATATTGCCACAGGGTTCCTACCTACTTTCCACCTTGCAAAGAGTAAATTCTCCTAGGAGAAGTAAGCAAGTTTGGGCTCTATCACCAAGGTACATGGTGGAGACCTGAGACAAACCTCAGTGGAGCCAGCAGAAATCCAAGACCCCTGTGGGGTTTCTGGCTTTGGATGGGGTCCTGGAGTAGGAAATGGAGGAGAGGTGTTGTTTAAAGACTGCTTCAGAACCTCCTTTATTTATAGGTTGCACTGTACTACTTGGGCCAGCTCACACAGACAGAAGCAGTAGCAAAAGCAAGGGCTTTAAGATGAAAGTAAGTTCTTAGAAACATTTCCGTAACAGGGATTTGGGTATACGAGGCAAATTAAACCCAAAATTATTTGGGTTGGTTTTGTCTGTTTGGTTGGGTTTTTTGATTGGTTGGTTGGTTGGTTGGTTGTTTTTTTCGCTTGTGGGTTCAAAAACCCACAAAGCAAAAAAAAGGTTTTGGTTTTTTGGGGGTGGGTGGGTGGGTTTTGGTTTGGTTTTTGGGAGCGGGGGTTACAACAGCTGCTGGCTTTGGGTCACTTTGAAGGGCACTGTAGGACTTCCATAAAGTCTTCTGCTCATTGGCTCAGGGTCTGAGATATCTTACCCAAGAACTGCCCTTATTTGGGTAGCTGGGGATAGCAAGGATGTACATGATTCCTTGACTGGAAATGCAGTATTTCCCCAAAATACTGCAATAAAGAACAGATAGCCCAGTGCTGCCTTTCTCTTACAAGGCTGAAAATGAAATGGTAATGGAAGACCCAAAATCCTTCTAAGCCCTCTTCCAGTTGGGAAAGGTGGAAAGGATTTCAGTTGCTGCCTGAGTTTGTGCCACACTGAGACCAAGACAGACCTCTGAATTCTGGTTTGGGGGCCACTCACTGCTTGAGAGGACGAATGGAGGGCATTTCTGGATGAAAGCTGAGGGAAGTACTTGCCTGTTTTCTGTTAGTTTCATGATTGTAGTGCCTCGTGAAGAAAAAACGATGAAAGACATCCGCAACATTGGACTGAAATAGAAGAACAAGCCAGATGCATGTCACAAACACATCACTTCAGATTTTCGTTTGCTAAGAAGCAGTGAATGAAAGAATAAATCAAGTATATAGCAGATTAAAATATCAACTTAAGAAAACTTTACCTTATGAACTTCTCAGCTAGGCTTTCCACAAAAGAATAAATCTCAGTCCAATGATTTCTAACACTTCCAGACCTGTGTACAAAACAAAATTGATTACATTAAACTACTTTACAGTGAAATTCCTTGTTCCACTCTCAGTCTTTAGCCTGGGCTACTCTAGTGGTTAGGGACACAAATTACATAGATGTACATGGAGATGAGGCAGCTCGCTCTGTTGAGGTTTCTACAGCAATTGTGTTGGAAGCTGTAACAGAAACCTTTATGGCAAAACCTACTGACTCAAGGAGAAGCAGGTCTGAAATGGTTTACCATACAATTTGAAAACAAATTCAGTAACTCTTCCATCTTCATTTGTTCCTTTTATAACATAACATATAAATATTTTCTTCTAGTTTAATTAATTTTATTTGACTGCAAGCAGATTATTTACTTTCCTAGAGCACAGCTCTCCCCTTGCAGCCACACAGAAAGTCTTGACTGATCTTCTATTCTCCCAGAATGCGTGGGAGAATGTTTCCATGAATTACTGTTTGTTTCAAAAGAGCACGCTTTTGAAGTAATTCAGAAGGGAAAGGAAGTACTCATAGCTAATTCGCTGGACTAACATTCTGGACAGTCAATCCCTGGCTGCATTACAGATTTCTTGTGAAAACTTGGGCGACTTGGTTACACGCACAAACTTAGATTCATGCTGCCATTCCCAACATATAAAACTGAATTACTGGCACTCCCTGGCTTTTTTTCTGCTTAGTCTTAGATTCTCAGGGTCCCCCACACTCAGACCTCAAACAGAACCTTGCATGCATCAACTCTGTAGTAAATGACAGGCGATTTCTACTGTGTGGATATAAGCCATACACTTTCAGGCCATTAAAAAGGCTGCAAAGCATGAGAAGTCAATGGTTTTAAGAGCCCTCCCTAGCACTGTGGTGTTTATGAAAGAATGGCTTGTTTGCTTTCCTTGCTAGGCAAACTCATGTATCAGGTGTCTTAGGTATAAAGATCAATAAAACAATTGTACATAAAGATCACAGGGATTTATGCACAGAACTAAAAAAACCCCTGAAATTTAACTACTGTAAAGCAGTAGGTTTCCTCTAACTTCTGTTAGACATTTTTCTGTGTAAATGTATACAAAAAAAGGGAGAAAATCACCCATATTACAATTCTCAGTTCTATTACGGACTTTCCAAGTGACCCTATGCCAGTCACTCCTGCCCCTGTATGTCAGGTACAGATCAGCCCATGTGTGCTACTGTTCTGGAGCACTGGTGATTCATTCACAGAGTGAACTGATTATCATAGAATGAAGAAATTGCCAGGTACTGAGAGAGGGCAACAAAGCACCAGGAACTGCCCAAACCAAGGCTCTGGACGCTTTGTGGTCTCCAGTCTACATATGCTATGCAATGACATGCTTATATATACATAAACAGCACCAGTGAAAGCTTCTGGCACTGTTAGCACTTTTCTCATCATCAAAAAACAATCCATGCTGATGTGAGGTATGTACTTTAAAGACAGCTTTTCCAAAAGAGATATGAGGCAGTTCAATGCCTATAATTCTCCAGGATTTTTCTCAGGCTAAATCTCTAAACAGGATGAACTCAAAGAGATTTTCTTGAATCTCTGCAAGATGCATTTACAGATCCCAGATTTTATTTTTATTTTAATCCTTTCCCCCCTGGAGTTGACACCTACAGTTTCATTCCAATTTTTCCATCCCGCTTAAATCCAACTCCTGCAATTTCTAATGGAGTCACTTCTCCACAGAGTAGCCACAGATTCTTACTTGGAAAAGACTGACCTATTTTGGTTGAGGTATCAAATTTCTACTGCCGGCTGCAGAGGCACTGATGCAATCCAAAAAAGAAAGTAGCAACGAGTTTTCTTTATGCCAGCCGCAAACCATCATTTCCAGTACCTTCTTAGGACTGTCAGAATTACCTCCTCCCCTCCCGCCACACCCCCCTTTTTTTAAATCTACCCCTCAGGCAAACAGCAGCTTGGTAAAACAGCCCAGACACTGGAAATCCACGAAAATCATGAACCACTCATGGTTGAAAAACATGGAGACTTTTAAAGCAAAAATGCACAGATAACCTTAACACTGCGCACTTCCATGTACTCTGACTATAATGAAACTCCCTTTCTTGGAAAGGGTACAGCCAGTGAGACTAATAATTGACTGCAGTCAATCTGTAGATGCCCACCTCTGAAATGCTAGGGAGGTCTGGGGAGCGTATGGTGCTTTTAGAGTGTGGGTTTCCTTCCCTAGGATGAACTCTGCATCCACACGTTGCTTTATCAGCTGGGAAGTGTCAAAGTGTCCCAATCTATCAACTGGGAAGTGTCAAAGCCAGACAGAAATGCTAGTAAGAAAACAGTCGTGTTTCAAAATCCCATATGAACAGCATCAGTGAAGTGGTCAGCACTTAATCACTCCCCCACCACACTCCTCCAAGCCCAGGTGTGCCATCTCCCACTGCAAACGTTCGCCAAATGCCACCAATGCCTGTCAAGTCAAACCTCTCATGCACACCAGTGGGAGTGGCCTAGCTTATAGAAAAAACTGACTTCCCCACCCTCCCGACCAAGCTCACCTCTAAATATCCCCATTTGTGAAATACTTTTATTTGCAGATTCATATATATATATATCTATATATATCTATATCTATATATGAAACACATATATATATATGTTTCAAAGGCTGCTGGGGTTTGTCCTGATAGTTTCATCTGTTGCCCTGAGGCCTGACCCCATACCAATGGCAACAGCAGTTTTCATGGCAGAGTAAACAAAAAATTACAACAATAAAATGTTTACTAAACTGTATACTACGTTGCCAGATGCTGTCAAATACTGACAATACTCCCAACACTGACAAACAGGAGCTGCCCGACGCTATCGAAAATACTGAGGCATTTCACTGCTTTCAGGATCTTATCTTTCACAGTCCAGAATCACTTTTGCTGGCAGGATAAACTAACTTCCTGGCTGGATCAGACTAGGTTTCTTGCCTTGGTTTCCCATGACAAGTGGGAGGCTCCAAGCATACTTTAAGCTCCTTTCTGAACATAGCCAATGCTTGAAAGCCATACTATTCATTTTTAACTCCACAGTTACCAAGCCCAGAGAAAGCACAGGGTCTTTCAGCAATGCTCTACACTACAGGTTACTCTTGGTCATCCACACAGCATGATTTTTACAGCAGTTTTGGTGCTTTTGTTGTTTCCTTTAGAACCTCTCAGTAACTAAGAACAAAATCCTGTTCATCAGTGTACCCATGCTATTAGGGGCCTCAGAGTTGGCATGTTTGTCCCAAAGCGTCATCAGTAAACAACCACAAACAGATTCCTTGCCTGGCCTGTTTGACCACCAAATGATACACTCCTGTAAGATTTCAGAGGAACTGTGAAGAATTTTTAATAATGAGAAAAGAATAAATGAAGCATGGAAAAGGTCAGTGCTGTGCAGAAAAAGCACTGGGTGCGTGACACACACTCATCCGCCCTCCCCAGTAACTAGGAGAAGCCACGGGGAAGTGATGTAGCCAGGGAATCCTATGTATCCCGCTGTGGAGGTTTGTGCCAGTGGATCCACCAAGCTGTCAGCAAAGGAAGACTACCTTGCAGCCAGACCTATCTTGTTGGCTCATGCCTTTTGAGATTTCCTGCTTTCAGTCATCAGCTACCTGGTTCAACTCCTCCCATCACTGAACAGCCACTGGCACTCAGCTGAGCCCCAGGCTTCCTCCTTGCGCACTCCCTGCTGCAGACACCCAGTAAGCCCCATGTTCTCTGCAAAGGACCAGGCCCCAGAAACCAAAGACCTCTGTGGATGGTGACCCACAGCTTACGAGCAGTGAGCGCGCCTTTCAGAGTCAAGTTGGATGATGAGGTTCCAGCCCTCAGAGGTTACATAATTCTCATGGCGAAGGAAAATGCAAAGCAATAAACAGCTGCTGTGTTCTGTGGCTGGAGAGCCATGGAAAGTATTTCAGGGCCTGTTTGTGCTGCTGGTTCTGCTGGGGTGAGCCTGGAACGGGTCCAGAGAAATAGCAGAATTTCCCCACATTCATATCTGCACAACTGGGATCAGAATTAAGCCCCAGCAAAGTGAAAAAACACACAGGAGCCATTTGTTGCAAGCGTGCTCCCCACTCCACGAGCTATGTTCCCATTACACACGAGACAAAGAGGAGAGTCAGCAAACCACAACACAGGAAAGAATGTCCTCCCGGCCTCATCGGGACTCAGCTTGGACGAGCGGCTGCTGCTGCAGCTCCTGCTGCTGCTGTTTTCCTGAATTTCACATTGCTACTGCTTGAAGGGAGGGGAAAAGAGGAGGTCAGTGAGTATTTCTGGGGGTGGAAGGAAGTGATGTGACTGCAAGGCTTGATTCTGCTCCTGCTTACTTTGGAGTGACTCCTAGCTTAGCGGAACTCTATGTCAGTATAAAACCAAGCATGTTAGAGTCATGCCTACCCCTATCTGACATATTCCACTGCTGCTTGTGAAGACAACAAAGCGTGAGATGGGTTGGAAACCTCCTCTTCACTTACAGGCTCCCAGAGGCAGTGGAAGCTGGGGCCCTGAGAAATCAAGCAGCAAAACAATGGCATATGGGGTGCTA